GGGCCACGGCCGAGATGTCTCGGCCACACCCCAGATTGGCCACGGCCGAAATGTTTGGCCACACCCCATGGTCGGGCCACAGCCGAGATATCTTGGCCACACCTCGGATTGGCCACGGTCGAGATGTCTCGGCCACGGCCGAGATGTCTCGGCCACGGCCAAAACATTTTTCACCGACCCGGTACTTGGGAACAGACCGGTACCCAGACCGGTACCGTGCCTGCGACACAGCCACCCATTTAAAACTGCCACAACCGCTCATATCAGACTCCGGCCTTGACGTTATTGCACTCCCATGTTTCGCTTGCCTTTTCGAAGCCCGGCCCCGACGAATATGCCCACAGATGTTTTTTTCCCCTTTCGAAACTATTTTGTGCCACAAACACAGTTGCTCCTTTTTTTTTGAAAACCGAAATCTTGCGAAGCCTATCATCAGTTCGTTTTTAGGCATATTAAGAGGTTGTCATATTCTCAGAAACTGGATTTAGTTCTTTTCTGAAAATCGCATCTCTACTCTATTTCGCAAATTTTTTTTTCAAGATTGCAATTTTGTGAAAGCCGAAACATTGCGGAACCTAGCCTAGATCTCGCTCATAGTACTCTTCTGACATGCCTCACTCATAACAGATCGACAGATATAAAAAAAAGAAAAAGGAAGTAGTCCTCTTTTATTTTTTTATTTTATTCTGTTGATCAGGACTGGGAGGAAAGTATTGCTTGGTTAGTTACCTACCTGCATTTTCCCTCCCACCCAACCCTTTGCTTGCATTCCCGACTGGGTACAGTGCCACGTCAGCAACAGTGCCACGTTTGCAGTGCCATGTCAGCAGTGCCACGTCAGCAACAGTGCCATGTCAGCAGTGCCACGTCAGCAACAATGCCACGTCAGCAACAGTGCCACGTCAGCAGGCCCCGCCACCATGACGGGCTCAGCTCTGGGCATGCCAGGCCAACTGGCTGGCAAGTCCATTGCCGAGTACCGACAGCGGTTCCAGACTCAGCTCGCACTGATCGAGGCTGAGGAACAGCACGAGCTGGCAGCAGAGGCTGTCCGCCTACAGGCTGAGGCAGCGGCAACAGCTGAGAAGCAGCGGCTGTAGGTCGAAGCAGACATAGATACCGAGACACGCCGCAAGGAGGCCCAGGATCTGCTACAGCGGCATGAAGCCACCAGCATCCAAAAGCTCAAGTTTTGGCACTTTGAACCATCCGAAGAGCACGAGGACGCGACACCGGAGGAGCAGCACAAGGAATTCATGGCCAAACTCGTACAGTTGTAACCACCTGCAGTCCGAGCTGGCGAATATGCAACGCGCCATGCGGAACCACAAAGCTCAGCACGAGGATGCGACATGGGCACTTGATTCCCGTATGCAGGACTTGGAGCAAGTTGCACCAAGACCGGAGGCTGGCGAGTCCAGCAGTGCACCCTCTGCCCGCCAACTGGAGGAATGCGTCGACCACGTAGTAGCAATGCTAGGTGACAACAACACCTTCGCGGCGCCGGCCACCATCAGCAAGCAACTGGACACCTGGAAGACCGAGGTTCAACAAGTGCACCAGCTGCCAAATAAGGATGGCAACAGCGCGCAGCACTACAAGCTGCCGACATTCCAAATCGAGAAGTTCGATGATTATACGCATCAAGACTTGGTACTTTGGTGGGAGGGCTTTACAATGCAACTGCGGATTCTGTTCGTCGCCAAGCACGTGTACATCGGCACGCTGTTCCTCAACTCAAAGGGCGGATGCCAGATCTGGTTGAGCCACCTGACAACCATCCACGACGTCGAACGTCGCAAATCTGAAAGATAAGATCTCTTGGGAAGAGCTAACACGACTATGGAAGAAGCGGTTCATCGTGGACGACGTGCCAACATTCGCGATCAACCGCCTCTTCGCTATGACAGAAGGCAACAAAGCAACACGCGACTAGCTCACGGAATGGCAGAAGATCGCGGCAACGCCCGATCTCGAATTACCATTTTCGCATCTGCGCCGGGAGTTCCACAACCGGTCATGTGCCGTCTTGAGCCTTGCACTTGGTGATCGCGAGCAATATGCAACCTTCGCTGAAATCATTGACAAAGCGAGGGAGATCATCAAGACAAACAGGGCAGCTGCACACGAGAAGTCAACGTGGCAGCCAATCTATGTGAAGAAGGTGAAAACTGGTCCGCGGCCGCAGCATGTCGCCGCAGTCCAATCGGAAAACATTGTGGA